TTCCTCTTGGAAAGAAGTTTGGAGATCACTTAAGGATCTAAAAATAGACCTGCCCTTCAATCCTGCCATTCCTCTACTAGGTATATATCCAGAAGTCCAAAAATCATTTTATAACAAAGATATTTGCACCAGAATGTGTATTACAGCCCAATTCATAATTGCCAAGTCATGGAAGAAGCCTAAGTGCCCATCAACCCACAAATGGATTTATAAATTGTGGTATATGTACACTATGGAATATTATGCAGCCTTAAAAAACGAGGAGACTTTACCTCTTTTATATTTGCTTGGGACTGGAACATATGCTTCTTAGTAAAGTATCTCAATAATGGAAGAAAAAGTATCCAATGTGCTCAGCTCTACTATGAAGCCTATATAGAAGCACCCATACTTCCATATGAAAACTATAACCCAACTACAGCCCAACATGAAGGGGAAAAAGGAGAGGGAGGCGTAGGGAGGGGAAGGATGGGTGGAGGGAAGGTAATTGATGGGACCAAATCCATGGTGCATTTTATAAGGGTACATGTCAAATCTATTAAGTGTAGAGTATAAATGTCTTAACACAATAATTAAGAAAATGCAGTGAAAGTTTGTTGTATTTCAAATTGCATATAAAACCAGAACATTGCACCCCATAAATACATTAATGTACACAGTTATGATTTAATTAAAAAACCCTGAATTACAGAAAAGAAAGTCAAATTCATTTAATAAAAAACTAGAATAAAAATTAGCAAATACATACACACACAGCAGCAGCACTATGTAATGACTCCCAAAGGGGAAAAGCAGTGGTCCAAGACCACTCAAGATGGCTTGTCAGTTCAAGAGAAAATAACCCCCCACACACACACGATCTCAGGCAAAGAGCAAACCCAGTACCTTTCAGCAATACAATCAAGGTACTAGAATCAGAATTATTTTACAATGCTTCCTTTTTTAATAGCAAAGATGCCCACCTTGAGTGTGCAAATATATATTTTCAGTGGTTTACTTTTGACTTATGTTTAAAGATATCAGTGTTAATACATGAAACTGCTTCCTGTATTTTACAGCCTTTTATTTACTTTGATGTAGCTACCTTCCGCCAAGCAAAAGACTTTCAGGTTGGCAGACAGAGGGGTGCCTTATTTTCTGTGAAATTAATGTTCTAAACACTGGCTGGAAAAATGTCTTATTGCCATTTCAACACTGGTCAATAGTTACAGTGATGCGTAACTCATCGTTTTCTGCAAAAAGCTGTGCAGTGATGTTGTCAAAGACAAGGCAGTCACCGTTCATTATGGCTGTCTCAACGTCCTCTCGAAGAGACAGAGGAGTTGATTCCCAGGTCAGTCGCCGTTGATCATCATTGAGCTCAAGTTGGTAAGTAAAATTTTGCGCTTGCTCGAGTGTTCCTAGCAGCTGTACAATTGCACAGAACCGCACGTGACCATCATCGTTTTCCTGTCTCTGCAAGACCACCATGAAGTGCAAGTCGAAACAGGACTGCGTCATCACCCAGTAAAAAGGACCATGTTCATTATTAACGTCCACAGCAAGGAAAATGGCAGTCTCTCCCTCTACCGACGTAATGTGGTCGTCATGCTGATGGATCAGATGGGGCATCACAAGGTCCAAAGAGCCTGCCCACGGACAGCGAACACCAGGGCACGGACAGGAATAAGGTCTAAAGTCACAGACCTCTTCGTGGTCTGCTTTTTCCGCGGGCGGCAGACTTGTTCCACACCCAAAAGAGGCGTATTTACACGGAAACGTAAGTGAATAGGCCACTTTATCCATAACCAAGTTACGAATGGATCCCAGTGGGCCCCGGCAAGTTGGACAAGAAGTCAACATTTGGTGACAGCTGGAACAAACAAGATGACCACGCTGACACTGAAGGATGGGGGGTAACACATAGTCAAAGCATACCGGACACTCGAAAAGGCTCCTCAAGTAACTGCTGGATGGAGTCGCGTCAGGCAGGCCTGGCTCCCCCTGGCGTGGTGGATCCTGTGAGGGACCAGCGGGCTGTGCCCTGTCAGGCTGATGGCTCATCTCTGTGGGCCGAGAGGGCTCTGGAACCCGGTACTGGCTTAAACGCGTTCAGTTCTCGGGGCAGCACCACCAGCTTGGTGCCCAGACAGGGCAGACAGTCTGGATCACCGCCGCTGCTGGAGAGCGTTCCCCTCAGTGGCGCGGCTTCCCGCTAAATGCGTCAGCGTCGCGGGCACAGGCGTGTGACGCATCCTAGAGCCCGACGCGCACTACCACACGCCGTGGCCGAGGCCCCGAGGAGGAGGGAGCGCCCCTCGTGTCGGCCCCTGGCTGCTGTTTTATAGAAGAATTCTTTATCCAAATTCAGCATGTGATGTATGTGATTAATTCCTTAGACTTTTTGCCTCTCCTGGGGCCAATGTGGGTAAATTGTATTTCACTAGAAAAGTATCCATTACGTCTGTATTCTGATGTATTTGAGTAGAATGCTGCAAACCTTGCACTTACAGGAGACTTGAAATTTTCTTTGTATTGATGACTATGTCACCCTTGTCATTTTAAATTTCGAGCATTTGTATTTCTCCCCTTTTGATTAATTTATCCAGTGACTTTTCCTGTTTCTAATATCCACTCGAGTAAACCTACCATTCCTCTTAAAAATAAATGATGATATATTATATGCTTTGATATATATTGTTTGAATTAGATCTTCAAAAATATCATAGAGTATATTTAACATGGCAAGAGATAAAATAATACCATGAGATTTACATGAAAATCACTTTGGAGGGCTCTGGGGGCCACATCCGGGAGTAAATGCACTCCAAAAGATTTGATACTGGAGAAAAAGATGACCAGATAGAAAAAAGCACATAAGCAGCATATCATGGCATTAGACAATGAGACTTGTATATCTTGATTTGAAATAAAGATGATTTTCCCACCTGAATGGCAATCTCTAAGATTAAAGAGCTAAATTTATCTATTTAGTGATAGTTTATAATGCCAATATTCAGCAATGGTTTGTGTTTTCAATCAAAATCCAAATGGATTTTTGATAATTATAAAAAATAAAAATGCAATTATATGTATGAAGAAATGCAGATTTGCCAAGAAATTTTTCAGGAATACTTTAAGGGACTTGACTTATCAGATATGAAAATATGTCATAATAGCCACTGTCACCCATAGAGTATGGTACTGACAAAAGAATAAACAAATGAATGAGTGGAATAGACAAGTCCAGGAACATACTTATGTACAGACATCAGTGAAACATTTACAAGGGATGAATCAAAGAGGTCAGGGAAAGATGGACTAATATGTATAACTAGGACTTCTGAAAATATGTTTGGAAGGAAATAATTTAAATGTTTGCCTAGGAATATTTGTGAATGATTATCTGAGATACATACAAATAAAATGTCAGAGTTAATGAAATGGATATAGGAAGAGGAAATATAGTATAATATTTTGTAAATTCAGTGTTACCATTTCCTAGCAAGATCAAAAGTCCAGAATGGATAAAATAAAAAACTTAGTCACATTAACCACATGAATATTATAATCCTCTATACATCAGAAAATTCTATAAATAAACTCAAATGGCAAAAAACAGGAGAAAAAATTTAAGAACGTAAGAGATAAAATTTTCACATCTCTAATACATAAATTTTTTTTTCAAATCAGTTATTAGCAATTTATCATACAATGTATGATTACTACAATTTAAAATGGGCAAAAGATGTGAATACACTATTCATAGAATTAAAAATGATCAGCATGTAAAAATGTCTGCAACCTCAGTAGTTGCTAAGTAAATGAAAATTGAAATAGCAAAAGGATTTTTTTTAATTATATGGAAAACGTAGATTTATAAAGTGTGATGATACCAACTTCTAGAGAGAGTACAGAACAACAACAATATTTCACAGATGTTTAGGAGGAGTATAAATTTGCTCTAACCATCCTGAAAAATAATCTGGCAGTTACTATGAACATTTTAAGAGTGCATACCCTTTGATGCAGCTATTTCACTGGTAGGAATTTACCCAAACAGTATAAATGAATGTATGTGCAGGGATGCTCATTATTGTATCCCTTGGTGTTCTAGACATTGCAAAGCTCTTCATTGTTAAAACCAATGGAAATCAGTTCTTTCTAAGTCAAGATATTTTACTTTTAAAATGTGATTGTCTCCTTGGACTTTCTGCCCCTCCTGGGACATGTGGGTAAATTGTGTTTCACTCTAATACCTTATCAGGGTGCAGGTGTGAAACAGATCTCCTCTAACAGCTTATAGGGGTGCAGGTGTGCAACAGATCTCCTCTAACAACTTATCGGGGTGCAGGTCTGCACAAGATCTCCTCTATCAACTTATTGGTATGCAGTTGTGCACAATATCTCCTCTGACACCCTTTCGGGGTGTAGATGTTCACAAGATCTCATCTAACAACTTTTTGGCAGCAGACGCACACAATATCTCCTCTAACATCTTATCAGGCTGTAGGTGTGCGACAGATCACCTCTATTAACTTATTGACATGCAGGTGTGCAACAGATCTCCTATAACACCTTTTCAGGGTGCAAGTGTGCACAAGATCTCTCCTAACACCTGATTGGTGTGCAGGTGTGCAACAACTGTCCTCTAACACCTTATCGGGTGTAGGTGTGCAACAGATCTCCTCAAACAGTTTATAGGTGTGCAACAGATCTCTAACACCTTATAGGGATGCAGGTGTGCACAAGGTCTCCTCTAACAACTTATTGGGGTGCAGGTGTGGAACAGATATCCTCTAACACGTTATCAGGGCTCAGGTGCTCTGAAGATCTCCTCTAACACCTTATTGGTGTGCAGGGGTGCACAAGATCTCCTCCAACATCATTTTAGGGTGTAGGTGTTCACAAATATCCTCTAACACATTTTCCAGGTGCAGGTGTGCACAAGATCTCCTCTAATACTTTTGGGGGGCAAGTGTGCCCAACATTCCCTCTAACACCTTATTAGGGTACAGGTGTGCCCAAGATCTCCAACACCATATCAGTGTGCAGTTGCACCCCTAAAACACCTTATAAAGGTGCAAGCATGCCAAGATCTCATCTAAAATCATATCAGGGTACAGGGGCTCACAAGATATACTCTAAAATCTTATCAGGGTGCAGGTGTGCACAAAATTTCCTCTAAAATCTTATCTTGGTGCAGGTGTGAACAAGATTTCCTCTAACAACATATTAGGGTGCAGTTGCATCCCTAAAACCATTTATTGGGATGCAGGTGTGAACAAGATTTCTTCTAAACCTGATCAGGGTGCAGGTGCTCACAAGATCTCCTCTAGCAACTTCTTGTGGAGCAGGTGTGCAACAGATCTCCTATAACAGTTTATGGGGTGCAGGTGTGCAACAGATCTCCTCTAACGCCGTATCAGGTTGCAGGTGTTGACAAGATATTCTCTAACACTTTATCAGGGTACAGGTGCATAGAAGATCTCCTCTAACACCTTATTGGGGTGCAGGGGTGTATAAGACCTCCTATAACACAGTAGCAGGGTGCAGGTGCTCACATGATTTCCTCTAACACCTTATCGGGGTACAGGTTCTCACAAGATTTCCTGTAACACATTATCATGGTGCAGGTGTGTACAAGAGCTCCCCTAATACTTTATCTGGGTGCAGGTGTGAAACAGACCTCCTCTAACAGCTTATAGGGGTGCACGTCTGCACAAGATATCCTCTGACAACTTATTGGGGTGCAGATGTGCACAAGTCTTGTATAACTACTTATCAGTGGCAGATGTGCACAAGATCACCTCTAAGAATTTGTTGGGGTGCAGGTGTGCAACAGATCTCTAATAACTTATTGGTATGCAGGTGTGGAACAGATCTCCTCTAACACCTTTTTAGGGGGCAGGTGTTTTTCAGGGTGCAGGTGTGCAATAGATATCTTGTTACAATATATCAGGGTGCACAATATCTCCCCTGACACCGTATAAGGATGCAGTTGCACTCCTAAAACACCTTATCAGTGTGTAGGTGTGTACAAGTTCTCCTCTAAGACGTTATCAGGGTGCAGGTGTGCAGAAGATCTCCTCTAAACCCATGTCAGGGTGCAGGGGCTCACAAGATATCCTCTAACAACTTATCAGCATGCAGATTTCACAACATTTCCTTTAACACTTTATCGGGGTGCCGTTGCTCACATAATCGCTTGTAAAACTTTATTGGGGTACACACAATCTCCTCTAATACTATATCAGGTTGCAGGTGCTCACAAGATCTCCTCTAACAACTTATCATGGTACAGGTGCGCACAAGATCGCCTCTAACACTTCATAGGTTTGCAAGAGTGCAACAGATCTCCTCTAACAGCTTGTAGGGTTGCAGGGGTGCAATAGATCTCCTCTAATAACTAACAGGGGTGCAAGTGTGCACAAGATCTCATATAACAGCTTATTGGGGTGCAGGTGTGCACAAGATCTCCTCTAAACCTTATCAGGGTGCCTGTGTGCAACAGGTATCCTCTAACAACTTATCAGGGTGCAGGTGTTCACATGATCTCCTCTAACACTTTATTGGGGTGAAGGTGCTCAGAAGATTTCCTCTAACACCTAATCAGGATGCAGGTGCTCACAGTTCTGCTCTAACACTTATCGGGGTACAGTTGTGCAACAGAACTCTAACACCTTATCTGTCAGTAGGTGTTCACAATATCGCCTCTAACACATTATCAGAGTGCAGATCCCCTCTAACAAGTTATCAGGGAGCAGGTATGCAACAAATCTCCTCTAATAGCTTAT